TCTTCCTACCCTCTCTTCTCTTTCCTAAATATTCTCTAACTGGTCATGCTTACCAATTTGCTGTAAAATGTCTTTGAAGAGTTCATCTTAGCCTTCAGGAGCAGCTGGTGATGCTGTCCCAGTGAAGCCAGCTCCCATTTCCCTGGCACCCCTCATCCCAGTCAGAAGGAAACACTCCCCCATGCTCTTCTCAGTAGTCCTGCAGGAATTCTAATCTAGAGACCCAGAGAGTTGAACTGTGAAACCACCTGCTGAGGGAGGGGGCAGTAGGGGAGTGGGGGCAGAGGGGAGCAGCCTTCAAGGAATCTAATTCCCCTTACTGTCATGCCAATCATACCAATAGAGGATCTCTCTCTACCCCAGCCTGAACACTTGCCCCCAACCCCCACATACAGTATACCATAGGGAGGTCCCTCCCAAACATCGTCTTCATGCTTAGACTCCAAATTTTCAGATGAATTATGGTCTAATTTTCCTCACATATTAATTTCCACAGAAATAGAAATTAACTTATGGAATGCCCATAGCGATGTCCCTGTTTCCATATCCATAGCATGGCGGTGGTTCCTGTTTATAGAGATGCAAATGAATTTTGTCCAAAGGAGACTACAAACCTTTGTCCGATTCTCATTTGAACCTGTTGCAAAATCTTTCTGATTCCATCATTTATTAATGAGTTAAATAAAATCTTTGACACATGCTTATTTTCTATGTATATGAAAGTCATAATTTTAGCTTTTTTTTTTTTTAAGTTGTCCTTTAAAACTGTAGGAGAGGGGGAAAAATATCTTTTCCCCTTTCTTCTCCTAGGTTTTCCAGCTGGGGCACTATAAATTAGACCAATAAAAGACAGATATTTGTTGGTTTGTTTGTTTTCTCTCTTAAAAAAATTTTTTTAAAATTTTTACTGAGATATACTTGACATATAACATTTTATTAGTTTCAGGTGTACAACAAAGGGATAGGTTAATAGGAGAAAAACAAAACAAAGTTTATTAACTTCTGTGTACCATGTATGTAACGTGTGGGACTAAGTACCCACAGATGAGTAACTCCAAGGGGTGGCTAGAATTTGGGCTATATACCTAACTTAGTAGGGAAAAGGGAAGATGAGGGAGGACACTTAGGGAAAAGCAAATGACTTTTGAGGAAGATAAATGGGCCCTTAGAAGAACAGATGGGAGATATGCTAGCTTGTGATTTTGTCTGTCTGGGTGTGGTGCCCATTTCTGGTCTCCTAGAAGAGATTAGAGTTGTTCTCAGGAGGGGATTTATGACACTTAAATTCTTTTGGGAGGCTCTGCTTTATGTCAAGGGGCTTCAAGAACTCAAATGCCTTTAGCATTTGAAATTCTTATGCACATGCAAAATGGCATATTCTGGGGTGGCATGTCCTGGCCCTCAACACTTCCATAGAACAATTTTCTTTGTATTGGTATCATCTCTAGCACAGTGCTAAGCACAGAGTATGTTTTCAGTAAGTGGGTATTCAATAAAGGATTGCAGAGTTGCATTATAGCCTAGCCAGAGACAATTAAGGACAACAGACATATATAAAACCAGAATGCCCCAAGGATCTCCTGGACAACACCCAGCATTATAGGAAGGGGATCTAGCAACCTATGAGCCCAAGTCTTTCACCATTTCTCCTCACATAAAAATGCTGCAAAGAGATGCTGTGGGTGAGAAGGAAAAAAAAAAAAACCATTAGTCTGAGTGAAGGGAAGGTTTCATGAGAAGTTAACATTGATTTTGGGTTCGAAAGAATGAAAGGGAATTCTTTTTGTCTTAAGATTTATTTATTTAAGAGGGAGAGGGAGAAAAAGAATGAGTGGGGAGAGGGGCAGAGGGAGAGAATCTCAAGCAGACTCCCCATGAGCATGGAGCCCAACGTGGAGCTCTCTCTCATGACCCTGAGATCTTGACCTGAACCGAAATCAAGAGTTGGATGCTTAACCGACTGAGCCACCCAGGTGCCCCGAAAGAATGAATAGGAATTCTTCATGTGGAGAGATGGAGAAAAGAGAGTTTCTCCATGGAAAAATGCAGTGGGCAGAGGCATTGAGTACAAGAAAGCATGAGTGATACTAAAGAAAGGGAGACAACGTTATCTGATGGTACCCAGATATGGGAGGTGGATAAAAGGAAATGAGACTGGGAAGGTAATGCAGAGGTCACTGTGAGAACTATAGACTGAATCTGGTCATCATTTGGAGGTGGTAGGGAGCCACTGAAGGGTTTTAAGCTGGAAAAGAGCTGATGTGAGTTTTACATTAGTGTTAACTTGGCATCCACTTACATCGTTATGTAAAGTGGATTGGAGAGGGCAGAAATACACAGCAGTGGGGCAGCTGAAAATATGAAACCAGAGCTCAAAACTATGTCAGGACAGAGATAAGGATATGAGAATTATCACAGTAGCAGGGCTGGTTGAAATGAGCGGGCAAAGTCGAATACCGAAAATGTCTTAAGTTTATTATCAGCGACAGTGTCTACCTGTACTTTTCTCTTACTTTCTTCTCCCCCATACTACCCCCACCGAAGACTGTGAGGTCCCCAGGGTAGGAGCTGTGTCTTATTCCTGCTCGTTTTCGGGCACCGTACCCTGGCATCAAGCTCAATAAATAGTTTGCTGATGAAAAAGAGCATGCAGGGAAAGGAAAAAACACATTTCTCAGAAAGGTGGTGAGGGCAAAAAGGATGATACTGAAGAATTTTGATATAATGGAAAGAGAACTGATGGACATTTTATTGGATGGCTTCAAATCTTTTCAGGAAAGCATTTGATGTATTGCAGGGCATCACGTAATTGAGGATGGGCTTGCCAGAAATGTGCACGGGAGACTCCCGTATGCTTGTGTGTCTGTTTTTAGTGCCCTTCCGTGTATCTGGAGTGCTCCCTGCAGCCCTCTTCTCCCTGACTCTGTTATCTCTCATTTAGTATACTTATCTCTCAAAGCCTAACTCAAATGCCTCCAACTTTTCTGGGACATTCTCTCTGATACTATTTCAAGTTAATTAATCCTTTTTCTATGTCTATACTTCTCTCCTTGTTAATCCCATTAGATTATAAATTACTTGAAGACAGGAAGAGGGTTTTACTCATCTGTATAGCCTCCCCCTGACCTGATGGGAAGCAGTCATCCCATAAATGTTTGCTGACATTTGAAATCAAATGAGTTTAAGAATATGCTGAATGGCAGAAAGGGCAAAGCTGAAGTTATATAGCTTGAAGTCTTGGTGGACAAGAACAGCGTGGTTTTTGTTACTAACAGGAGTGAGATGATGGACAGACAGAACCAGGGAAGGATTCAAGAACTTCAGGCTATGATGCAGGCAGATGAAATTTCACTAAAACTTGAGATGATGATGATGGTGATGATGATGATGATGATGATTTTTAAGTAGGCTCCACACCCAACGAGGGGCTTGAACGCACAACCCCAAGATCAAGAGTCACATGCTCTACCCATTGAGCCAGCCAGGCGCCCCAGAATTTTTGGTGTTGTTGTTGTTGTTAGAGAAATCCAAACTTTGATGTCCCTACCTGGAAAAACAAAGACACAAAGACATGACGCTCATGTGTATTTTATGGTAGGAAGGGATGTAATTTTTTCCCAACTGACTTCCTCTTACTAATCGGCAGTGAAGCCCCCCAAAAGGAAAGCCAAACAATGAAGTCCTCTGTATCAGACTTGAATTTTAAGCATTGATTTCTCCTCTTTAACTCCTCCAGTCCCCTCGCCTGGACTCTAAACTTTTGTAAGAACAAAACAGATTGATTTTATAGTGTCACTTTTTTGCCTTCGTTTCCAAACTTTCTGGAAGAGCACTTAATGAGCAGTGAAATGAATGCAGATGGCCACAGGAAGTGGAAGAGAAGTAACTGGTATACCAGGATCATGAACTAAACGGTCTTAGATGGTTATTTTCAAATCCCAGTTCTGCTACTTGTCTGCAATGGGGATAATGGCTACAGGATTCCCCTCTTATCTGTGCAGAATATGTTCCCAAATCCCCCCTGGATGCCTGAAACCATGAATAGTGCCACATCCTATATATACCATGTTGTCTCTCCCTCTCTCAAAATCTTACTGTACCATACCCCCCCTTCTTCTTGTGATGATGTGAGATGATACAGTGCCTCTGTGATACGTGTTAGGCTACAATTGGCCTTCTGACAATATGGCAGAAGGAGGATCATCTGCTTCTGGACCTCGGGTACTGAAACCATGGGAAGTGAAACCAGAGAGAAGGGGAGGAACTACTTAACTTGCAAAAACACTATGTGGGAAATTAACTAGATGTAAAAGTGCTGAGCAAAAGGAGTGTAGTATATTTTGAATACCTCACATGCAGGTGGCGGGAAATTAGAAAGTCAGAAAGGGTATTTGGGGAAGGGCGCCTGGGTGGCTCCGTCTGTTGAGCGTCTGACTTTTGATTTCGGCTCAGGTTATGATCTCAAGGTGGTGGGATTGAGCCCCGTGTTGGGCTCTGCACTGGGCTGGGTGTAGAGCCTGCTTGCTCTCTCTCTCTCAAAAAAAAAGGGGGAGGGGTATGCAGGGAAAAGGTAAGTCTCCTCTCCATCATTTTCAACTAAATCTCCTCACAGCCAACTCTTGATACCCTTATATGCATTTATTGTGCATTCCCTTCCTTCCTTGACTTAGCTGTGTGAACTTGATTGAACATGTAATTCAAATGTAAAATCTCTTACCTATGAAATGAAATGGTTCTCAGCGTTTAATGAAACAGTTACTACTTTGTAATTAAAATGCTACACAAATAAGAGGTATTATCTTGGGAAGGAGAAGCAAGGCCTAGACAAACATATGGTACTTTTAACTTCATTTAGAACAGAGGTCTCTTGACCCTTAGAAATCAGCCATGGGCTTGACTACTTTGTTCCATTAGGAGTATCCCCTTTCCTCATCTGGACATCAGCAAAAGATGAAGGCCGAGATCCCCATTGCCTGACTCTGGCTTGGTCTGTCCCACAGGTGATCACTTACTCCAGCCGTCATGTCTACAGTAACTTGACTGAGGAGCAGAAGGGCCGAGTGGCCTTTGCTTCCAATTTCCTGGCAGGAGATGCTTCCCTGCAGATTGAGCCTCTGAAGCCCAGTGATGAGGGCCGCTACAGCTGCAAAGTGAAGAATTCAGGGCGCTATGTGTGGAGTCATGTCATCTTAAAAGTCTTAGGTAAGCTAGAGTGTCAAGGTAAACGCCTCCATCTTATTAATAAGGTCTCTGTGAGGAATAGCCAAATGCCCCATGGTGGTACATAACCTTTTGTTTGATACCCTGTATTATACATTCAGAGATCATCTAGTCCAGGTCCCTGGGAAGAAGTATGTTCTCTATTTTAGACATAATAAAAGAAGAAAGAACAATCACAATTTTCCATGGGAACCCACTTACAAAATTTAAATATCCTCTAATGTTTAAATGGTATTCTTATATTTACCTTACATCTCTGAGATACGATTCAACTCCATTTCTGGTTTCTGGCAGCAAAAGCTCCTAAGTTCTGTTTAACTGCTTCCAAGTTAATGGACTTCTATCCCTGTTTCAGTATTAGTAAAATCACACTCAGCTTTCCTAAAACTTCCAATTAAGTAACAGTGTCTTCTTTGAGAAATGATGGGAGTTTCTGGGGCAGCCTCTGAAAACTACAACAGCACCACTGGAAGCAGCTGGAATTGGGTGTATGTGTGTGCGGGGGATGGAGGTGGGTGTATTTCTGGGGGTGCTGTAAAGCATGGTTGCATAGCAAAAGGCTACTGAATCCCCACTCAAAAGTGGACCGTAACAGATGGCTAGAGAAACAGCTCAACAGGATGTAGTTCTTCCACAGAATCTGGTGTTTGGCGATCTTTGAAGCTTTTTCTTTTTGCCAGTGAGACCATCAAAGCCCAAATGCGAGTTGGAAGGAGAGCTGACAGAAGGAAGTGACGTGACCCTGCAGTGTGAGTCAGCCTCTGGCACAAAGCCCATCATGTATTACTGGCAGCGAATCCGGGAGAAGGAGGGAGAGGATGAACATCTCCCTCCCAAGTCCAGGATTGGTAAGTCATCTTTCCACCAGTCTGCTGAGACAACAGAATGGTACTCTAGCCATGAATTCTAAATCTGGTTTTGTCAGCAACTCACCATGTGACCTTGAACACACTGCCGAACCTCTTTGAGCTTCTATTTTTCATCCGTCAACCCGGACAGGAAAAAAAAAAATCTGTCTTTTCTTTCCTCAAATGGCACATAAGCGGCAAAAGAAATGAGGGAGAGATGTACCGCAGATCCATGATACCTAATTACCGTATTGACTATCCCTTACACAGTTCCCAGCCTTTTGTAACCCTTGAGGATGTGCAACTTCAAAGAATGTTCACCTTTCTTTCCACATTCCAAAAAAATCTATCATCTCTTCTTTAGCAAACTGTATTAGAGCATCTTAGGTCAATGATGCAATGAGGTGAACAGTAAACAGAGACCCTGTCACACTAAGAGGATTACAGTCGTTCCTTCTGCTTGTGTGTAGACTACAATAACCCTGGACGTGTTCTGCTACACAATCTCACCATGGCGTCCTCTGGGCTCTACCAATGCACAGCGGGCAATGAGGCTGGGAAGGAGAGCTGTGTGGTGCGAGTGACTGTACAGTGTAAGTATCCAAGGGGCTTGTTCCTGCGTCTGCATTGTGGTTCCGTGTAAAACACTTCTAATCACAAGAGGAAGGTCAAAGTAAAAACCTTTATTTCCAGAAGGACATGGCTGTTGCTAAAATAAATTCAGCAGTTGCGATGACCCTTCCAATCTTGGAGCTCACTCTCTGTTTAGGAACCTGTATGAATTTGTCAGCTTCCTAAAGAAATTTATTCTGTCCAGGAGAGGACCAAATGGAGATTTCCTTTATAAATGTAAATTTCCCTTACAAAAGGGTATCTTCTACTTTGTTTTTAGAACTTCTCCTGTGTCTGCTGTTTCTCAGAGATGATCAGCTGAAGGGGGCACCTGGCTGGCTTAGTCAGTAGAGGATAGACTCTTGATCTCAGGGTCGTGAGTTCAAGCCCCACACTGGGTGTGGAGCCTACTTCAAAAAAATCAGCTTAAAATAGTCCTAATGCCAAAGAGGCATATTTTGGGGTGGCATGATCTGCTACCTTTCAATATCAAAGGGGTTAGTCATACACCAAGGGTAAATGGGAAACTCAAGAAGACAGAAAGATCTGGAAATACCTTGTCCGGGGCTTATGTTTTGCTTGTTTAAGTAAACGCTGTTCCCAAGGTGGGGCTCAAACTCACAACCCCAAGATCAAGAGTCCTTGAGATTATGAGTCACATGCTCCATCTACTAAGCCAACCAGGCGTCCCAGGGCTTATGTTTTTTTTAAGTTCGTGTATTTCCTAGCTTATGTTTGGTTTTACCTCTGCTTTTGTTTCTGAGAAAATAGATGTACAAAGCATCGGCATGGTTGCAGGAGCAGTGACGGGAATGGTGGCTGGAGCTCTGCTGATTTTCCTCTTGGTATGGCTGCTGATCCGGAGGAAAGACAAAGAGAGATATGAGGAAGAAGAAAGACCTAATGAAATTCGGTAAACCTCTCTTCAAAATCCCTTCTACTAGACTTCCTTTCCAGAGCTAACTGTATAGTGACCAGCCAACATAAAGGTCCCATTTCCTCTTATTTTATTTTTTAAAGATTTTTTATTTATTGGAGAGAGACACAGCAGGAGCTGGGCGGGGGGAGGGGGAGGGGGGAGTGGTGGGGCGGAGGCAGAGGGATGGGCAGACTCACTCCTCAGCTGGGAGCCCAACTTGAGGCTTAATCCCAGGACCCTAATATATCATGACCTGAGCTGAAGCAGATGCTTAACTGACTGAGCCACCCAGGTGCCCCTCCCATTTCCTCTTAACTATGAATCTGTTAAAAGGATTATTCTGGTTAGGTAAGGAGTTCCAGCCTAGGGACAGAAGGTCTGTTTTATCTTGCCTTTACTGTGAAACTATCTATCCTCAACTGAGAATGAAAAGATCAACTTTAGGTTACTTGTGATTCACTTGCACTTATGAAGGGCCTACAATCAAGAATGGGTATAACCTATGGGCCATGAAAGGGTTTACGTAGGGATACCTGGGTGGGCTCAGTCAGTTACTCTTGATCTCAGCATTGTGAGTTCAAGCCCCACGTTGGGCTCCACGCTGGTGTGGAGCTTACTTAAAAAAAAATAAAAGGATTGGGCAACCCCCTGGGGTCCCCTCCCTCCTTGGGAGCTTTGTACTATCACTTTGCAATCCTCAATAAACCTTGCTTTGCTGCCCACCAAAAAATAAACAAATAAATAAGGGTTTATGTAGACAAACCCCAAATCAATCTCAATGGTGAGTGCCTACTCTCCCAGCGTAATAGAGTTGACTTCAGGGCTAACAAAACATCCATTTGCCTAAGCCAACCATGAAGTCTCAGGGACTGGGGAAGCGCCCATTCCCCTAAATGGCTGCCTTCCAGTGGTATCATGTGAAGTTTACAGCTTGAGGAATTTATTGGGAAACCTCAGACGGAAGCAACCATAGTGGACGCCATCACGGTCTTGTCAGTGTTAAAGTTTACCTTTGCTGTTTTTTCTCTTCAGGGAGGATGCGGAAGCCCCCAAAGCCCGCCTCGTGAAACCCAGTTCCTCCTCCTCAGGCTCACGGAGCTCACGCTCCGGTTCTTCCTCCACGCGCTCCACAGCAAATAGTGCCTCACGCAGCCAGCGGACACTGTCGACCGAAGCGGCGCCCCAGCCAGGGCTGGCCACCCATGCCTACAGCCTAGTGGGGCCGGAGGGGAGGGCTTCGGAACCAAAGAAAGTCCACCACGCTACCCTGACCAAAGCAGAACCACACCCAGCATGATCCCCAGCCAGGGCAGAGCCTTCTGAACCATCTGAATTACAGTGGACTTGACTCCCATGCTTTCCTAGGAGTCAGGATCTTAGGACTCTTCTAGTCACTGAAGCTCAGTCACCAGCCACACGACCCCCTCGAACCAGATGACAGGCCGTTTCAGTAGCAGTGAGCATTGCATGGAACCGATTCAAATGAGCACTTTCTTTATATGACACCAAACAGGAAAAAGGATGTAAACTGATCATCTCCCAAAAAGCATCTCATGGTGCCTTGAGACCAGAGTGGGGAAAAGCGGGGGTCCAAATCTGTGTGTTTGTTGACCAGGACCTGTGGTGGAAAAGGCTGGGGAAAGGGGAACTGAACACACTTAAAACTTCTCACCTGAGATGTTTTGTATCAATACTTCGGCTCAACGTTGTCAAGAAGAAATGAGATGTTGTTCATAAATTTTCTATGCATTTCTGCAAACCTACTGGATTGTTGTGATTATTCAGAGTCAAGTGGAACCCACAGCCTTATATTTCACCTAGCTGCACCATGTACTGGGCATATTGCTTCTGAGAAATTTCAAAAAAGGAAATACATTTCTTCTGACCTGACTTCATTTACCATAAGGTTTGGATATTAATTTTACAAGGAGTTGAACTAGTGGGAGGTGAAGAATGATTTGAGTTTCTCCCCCTCTATCCACTACTAATCTCCCACTTCTATCAAACCATAAGAGAACTAAGAAAGGAATTCAAAATGTGTGACAGGGGACTGTGAAAAACTTTCCATCTTAATGATATTCAGAGAGGGTCACTGACAGGTATCAGAAATATATACTGGAACAATTATGGACTGTCCCTCAAATCAGATGTCTCTGAGGACTTCCCTGCTGGATATCTGGAGCAAAAAAACATTCACTGTGTGTCATCTGACAATTTTCCTAGAAGTCTTTTAGAGAAAGAGAGATCTTTCAGAGATGCTAAAAGATCATCTGACATATCATTGCATTCTCTTCTGAGAACATATGAAATCAGAATTTCAAGACTGACTAAACGAGAAAGGGAGCTTAGATAAATCAATTTTCTCTTAATATATTGAGGAGTGGTATAAGGAAGTTTACTATTACACCAAACTTGGAGCTTCCTCCATTTCTTTCATTTTAGGAGAAGGGTGTGAACCTGGGACTTTTGATAATTCTAGGCCTTAAATTATCAAAAAGATCAGGGATTGCCAATGTTTCCTAATGGCATTGCAAGTACGTCATAATCATTCCCTCCTGAGAGGCTGACACAGAGAGAAATTCAGTAATTTCCCAGCCTCTGAGGAAGTCCAGGTCTGGAAGGAAAGGGAATTATATTTAGGGAAGGGATGGTGAGGATAACTCATGGGTGGCAGGACAGGGCTGGATTAGTGACTGCTAACATTCGAACTGTCACCATCTTGGAAACAATGAACAGAAATGATTCACCAGGATAACCATCAAAGAGTTGATTCATGGAAGAAAGGTGTGTGAGAAATAAAAAGAAAAGCACAGCCTCCAATACAAGAACTTGCCTTTTTAATAGTGTTGACTATTCTGTGAGTCAAATTCATCCTATGGCAAGAATGGTAGATCTGAAATAGCCCTGCAAGGACTTTAGGACAAATGTCAACAGATCACCATTGGTAGTGCAAAATATTTATGATTAAAAGAGAAAGTCATGCTGAATCTGGAGATGAAAGCATTGTTTCTAAAATGGGAATCAGAGGGGCGCCTGGGTGGCTCAGTTGGTTAAGCGACTGCCTTCGGCTCAGGTCATGATCCTGGAGTCCCGGGATCGAGTCCCGCATCGGGCTCCCTGCTCGGCGGGGAGTCTGCTTCTCCCTCTGACCCTCCTCCCTCTCATGCTCTCTCTCTCTCTCATTCTCTCTCAAATAAATAAATAAAATCTTTAAAAAAAAAAATAAAATGGGCATCAGATGCTTGAAGAGAAAAGGCAGATCTGGGATTTGGCCTCATTTCTCTGGTTTTTCATTTCTACATTTAATTCTCACAAAACAGTCCTCATATAATGCAAATGCATTTCCCTCTAAGGTTCTTTAAGAAGAAGAAGAAAAGAGAAAGAAATTGGGGTTTATCCTTGGGTGAAAACTGTAATCTGAGGTTTGTCTTCCTCTTATAAAAAGCTGGGAAATAAGAGACATTGAGGAAGTAATGTAAAGAATGTCTGCTATTAATTTAAGAAGGCTGGCATATTTGGAATGCTTCTTATACTGCCTCATTGTAAGATAGAAACCCCTTCCATACTCTTTTTTATTCTTTTAGTAGTGTGGTAACCTATCACCTCTGCTATGAAATTCTGAGAATTCCCATTCCTAGAGTACCTGAGCCAAACAAGTACACTCTGGAGGCTGCAGCTCTACCATCACAAGCAATTTGCTCTTATCATTATTTACACCTTTGAACCTAATGTTTCCTGTATATGCTTTTGAAAGCACGAATCAGTCCCCTTTGCATGATGTGGAGATTTACGTTATTTAAACATGTTAGTTACTAAAAGACTAAAATACCAGTTGAATATCCAGATTTGGGGTATCTATTCCCACTGGAAATCTACAAGAAAATTCACAAAACAGGTAACTACCTAAAGTCTGAGAAATTCTAAGGAATTGAAAATTCTGAGAGATAAGGGTGAAGTTTTAGCAATGAGAGTACACTTCTCTTAGAGTCAGGTTTTTGGGTTCAGATGAAGTTCTGAGACACTACTGGCTTCAAACCATATTCCATTAAGTCAAATAAATTTGATCCTTTAATATGAAACAAACAAAAAGGCAAGATAGCTAAAAAGTAGAAGGAAGAAATGTTTGTGGGAAGAAGATACTGATGGAATGATGTGAATGTCTGGAGAATAACCATTTCAATAAAATATATAAACCAAACTTAAATTTGGAAAATAATGAAGTTGATGCCCTTGTTGTTACACTGTATAAAAATAATTTCAGAATTGCTGTTGCAAAAAGACATAATTTTGCTTCATTTCTGGTATTAAGCTGTTTATATTTTAACTTCTAAGTTGCCTTGTAATTGAGACTGTGTTTGATCACAAAAAACAAATATTTATTACAGATGTATCTGTATTAGCAATTAAAAAATAAATAAGTAAAGGTAATACCATAGAAGCTAAAGGTCATATAACCTTCCCTGGAAATTTGTTCATTAGCTTGCTGCCAAAAAAAGAACAGAAGAACTCAGTTTGAATATGATCTATTATTTATTAATTTCAGTGACAAATATATCAAGTACTAGTTTCTCACAAAGCAAGATACTTAGTAGTACTGGAGATACCAAGTTATGACAGAGATCCTGCTCTTAAGGACTTCATCAAAATAAATATTTACGAAGCAAATATTTTATACCAAGGTGAAGTGCCAACAGAACTATACATTAAGGGGTTCAAACAAATCTCAAAAGAAGTAAACACTGAGAGATTTAAATAAATCTGAAAAAAAAAAACTTCACAAAATTAAATGAGATAATACATGCAAAGCACTTATAACAGTGCTTGGTATGTGACAGGGACTCAAATATGTTCATCATGAACCCCATCCCCCAGTCAGAAACCCCAGGCTTCAGACTTCTTCACTGCAGTCCCTATGCCCCCAAACTTTAATTTTCCATCCTGAATGTGTCTGAAACCTTGTGTATTTCAAGAAGTGGAGATAGGACATTCATCTTACTGAGCTTTAAAAACATAAAGTCTGAATCATTCTATTTAATAAGAGCATAGTCCAAGTTCTACAATGTATTTTGAGTGACAGGAGACACGTTATTGACTCTACTTTCTTTAATCACTGCTGTTAGGTGGGATACTCCAAGCCACTGAATCTGGGCCCTTGTTTTATTTTCCAATGCTTCAATAATTAAAATGTTGAAGGTAGTCCAGAGGTTAAAAGCTGCAAAATGTAGGGTATAGTTCAGAGACTGTACTTGATAGGTTGAGCAGGAAAAGGAAGATTGTAGATCCCAAAGAAAATTGAAAGGAGCCTCCCACAGCACACATCTTCCTCTTTCTGGAGTTGTGTAGTTACATGTGTTTCTAGAAAGGAAATTATACCATAGTGTAACAAAAAAACAGACCAAGGATTCTGGAATCAAAAGCGCTAGCTTCCATTCTACCTCAGCCAGCTGTAAATCCTACAAATAACATCTCTGAACCTCATTTTTCTCCTAATACCATGATGTATAATATATATCTCAGAAAACTGTTTTGATGATTACGTTATATAACAAATGAAAGCCCTTTGTACGCTGTAAAAGCATCATATAAAATTAATTTCTTGGGAGATGGGGAGAAATTTAAATATATGCCTCCACGTGCTCAAGCCTAAAATTGCGCGCCCCCCCGCCCCCCGCAAAGGCAAATGTGAAAAAAAATTCTTCCTTCACATGTTTGAATCTGTCTCTAGGCCTTACTGGCTTTAACAAGGACAAAGTGTCCTCTTCTGACAGCCTTTTTGGAGGCACTGTCTGGAAGGCCTTTCTAATTCCAGCCACACCACTATGTTAGGTAGTTTTAAAAAGAATCTTTTCATTTATCTGCCCATTTATTTATTAAGCAAGAATATCAGCTGCCCTGCCTGTTTGCAAGAACACCCTGAAAACATTTCAAGGAACTGACAAAGGCTTAGAATGACAAGGCCCAAATACCTGCCACCAAGCACAATTTAATTTTAAGTACTATTGTTTTGTGGACTGATTAGTAATGTTTTCAAGATGCCTCTGAACAATCTCTCGTTTAGCTTTTTTATAAGTCAAGGAAGGAAAAATAATACATCATGTTACTAAAAATAAAAGAGGCTCTAGAAAGTCTAAATCAAGGACACGGGACTACCGGAACGCAGGTTCCTAATGCCTGATTCTCCTACACGGAAAAAACTCACTAGCTTTTCTTTTCTTTAACAGATAACTGAGAAGTGAGGGATTTGGGTGAGGGGAGAGGGAGAGCCAAAAAGCCGAACCTGTTTTGGCGGGAGGTGGGGAGTGGCGGAGTCTGGACTCAGGGAAGCGGGTTTGGACCTTTATTTCGCTGAGGGTTCAGGCACAGGATCCGGCCCAGGTGATTCTGAGAGGCCGGACTCCCTCCAACCTCTGCCTCGAGGGCTGCCGGCCTTCACCTGCACGGTGACTGAAAATTCTAGGGGTCGGCCTGGCTAACCTGTCCCACCCCGCTTGAGCTGGGTCCCTCTAGCCCCAGATCTGTGTACCCCCGGGCAAGTCACCCTAGCAGCGCCCAGCGGTCGGTACCCACCCCCCCGGGTCCTAGTGTTAAGTCCTAGCCCAAAGCCACAGTAGGTAGGAAACGTGGGAACATGGAATCCGGGAGGGCCTAGAGGATCCTATACAACGCCGAAGTAGGGGTTGGGGGAAACAGAATGAGGACTGGGTGGGGAGGGGCGCAACAACCTTCGCGGCCATTTTGTCCTCGCTCTACTTCCGTCTTCCCTCCCGGGCTGCGGGCTCCGGACCCCTCCCTTCGGCCCCTGCTCTCGTCCTCCCCTGGTTCTGCGTGGATCCAGATAGCAGCCAGTGCTGCTGTCATTGGCTAGTTCCAAATTTGCCCGCCCCTCTTCCTCCTTCTCCTTCCGTCCCCTCCCGCCCACGCTTACTGGGAGCGCCTGCGCAGAAGCGGACGCTCCTTTGACACCCCCCCGCCCCGCCCCGCGGGCCTGGGGTGACTGAGGACTCCCGCGCGCGGGCTCTCTCGGCTCCACCCTCCCTTTCCCCGGGGCCGTTCGGAGAAAGGGGGCGAGAATGAAAGTTCCAGAACGCTGCGGTGAGTGCGTCATCGCGAGGTGGGGTGGAATGGGGGCGGGAGTGGGCGAGGCCCGAGGGGTAGAGCCGGCTTAGTCATTGGGGCTCGTAGAGGTGGCCGCGCGCCCATTGGCCGAAGAAGCCATGATGGGCAGCCGGCAGGGGTGGACCCCTTCTGGAAGGTTCTGAGGCAGGGTATAAGAGACAGGGTGGCGGGCGGAAACCGGTCTCATTGAACGCTGGGCTAAATCGCCAGACGGCTGATTTCTTCTCAAGCCGGGCCGGGCCCACACAGAAGGTAAGGTCTCTGTCTTGTACTCTCGTGGTGGTTCCTCAGGAACGTGCACCCCGCGCCCGGGCTGAGCAGGTTTGCGGCACTTTGGAGGCTTTTGGGCATTCACGTAGGCGGGGGGCCGTGAGTCCCCTGCCCAGGGGATCCCTTCACCCTGGGAGGCGGCGGACCTGGGTTGCGGCCGGGCGGGAAAGCCGGGGCGTGGGCTGCAGGCCGTGATGGCCGCCGCGGAGCCAGGGCGGCGCCCACAGGGAAGGCTGGGCGAGGGCCGCATCCGCGCTCAGGGGGGCGGAAGTCCGGCGCCCTGGAGCGACCTTCCCTAGATCCTCAGAGCAGGAATCCGCCATTGGCACGCGCCCAACGCGGGGGAGGGGGACTCTTGAGCACGGAATACGGGCCGCACTGTGTTTTCTGTCAGAGTGCAGGTCGCAGGGAGGAGGGAGAGTGGAGGTCGGGCTCTGGGCTCGAGACCACGTGCTCGGCACTGTCGCAGACCCTCCGGACAGGTGCTTCCTTCGGTCTGGGCTGGGCTCAGCTGCGGTTGGCACTGAACGTCGACTGCAGAATTTCTTGATCTGGCCCTTACTCGTGGTTTTCACACAAGGGCAGTTTTTGGGGGGGAGGCGGTAAGTGAAATCTTGGCAAAAGTGCTTCGTACCTGAAGCTAGGTTTCACAGTAAACGTTTCTAAGCGTTTAATTGCCTTTTCAAACCATGGGCTTTTTAAAATTTTCCAGCAACCATGTCTAAGGGACCTGCAGTTGGCATTGATCTTGGCACCACCTACTCTTGCGTGGGTGTCTTCCAGCACGGGAAAGTGGAAATAATTGCCAATGATCAGGGAAACCGAACCACCCCAAGTTACGTCGCCTTCACAGACACCAAACGATTGATCAGTGATGCTGCAAAGAATCAAGTTGCGATGAACCCCACCAACACAGTTTTTGGTAAGCCGTTAATACAGGCAGTATGCTGTGAGTTCACGTGGTTTAGACTGCGTGTAATTTGAGAGTCGGAAGTTTATGGAATACAAGGCAGCTATGAAAGCCCGGAAGAAAGGGAAAGCTGATTAATTTATTAGTGGGCATTTTACAGCTCCATGCTAAAGAAAGCTGAGGTAATTCTAAAATTAGGGAATTTGAATAACTGCCAGAAACTGTAAGTCCATTTACTATGGAGTTTGCTTCTGAGATCAGACTGAGTTTGCTAGGCCTCTTGGCATTTGAGTAATGGAGGACCAGGGTGGTTCTGGGTAGATGGAATGTTAACCTTTGCATTTGATTACCCATTACAGATGCCAAACGCCTAATTGGACGTAGATTTGATGATGCTGTTGTCCAATCTGATATGAAGCATTGGCCTTTCATGGTGGTGAATGATGCTGGCAG